CAATGATCGCTTGAAGTTTGAAGAACTCTGTAGAAGTGATCCACATCCTCATACCACTTCAAGTTTGTACGACAGTCTATGGGCATCCTACTGTTTATTATCTCTTCATAGCTATTATCTTTGAATTTCATCCGTGACGGATTTAGTTTGTACTGCTTGTAATCGTGAACCCATACACTGAGAAACCAGACGTCAACAAGTGCAATGCGCTTGGACCAGAAGGGGGTGGGATCTCGCATGTACCTTTTGATGAGGACTCGCAGAAACGCATTAACATGCTATGCAAAAATACAAAATCAAGTCATATTAACGAATCTATAACTCAGCCGTAAAGAACACATAACTCAGCCACATAGTATAATTAACTCTACCACAAAGAAAACTAAAATCACCCACATTGTATACTAAACTCAGCCACGTAGTATACTTAATTCAGTCACATAGTATACTTAACTCAGCCGTAAAGAACACGTAACTCAGCCACATAAAATATATAACTCAGCCGTAAGGAATACTTACATCATCAAACAGACATCCATATTGGTTGTCTGACCATGGTCTTTCAGTGACGATGATTCTGTAGAACTCACCCTCATGGAACACTATTTTTGAAGTGGGAGCGTCCTTATGTTTCTCTAAGTGTTCCTTAAGTTTATCCAATTTTGCTGGATCAACTGGTGCTAAAGGATCATATATTACTGGTGAAGGTTCAAAATTCTTCCTCATGCACGTCGTTCCATTGTCTCCAATGTGAGGAAAAACTGGCGCTGAAGGAGCATTATCAGCGAGTTGCGAGGCACACCCAATTACAGATAACTGAACATTTTTCTCCCGATATTGATTTATTCTTTCGGATCTGATCCTATCCTCTTCCTCCACATCAGACTCCGGAAGCACTTTGTTTTTTTATGCGAAAAATTCGTCAGTAACATCCGCAAGGTCACTGTCGGCTTGAATCTGTTTTGACTGAGGTAAATGTACTAATATTACACCGCGACGCGTCACCCTTTTTGGGACCTGTTTTTTTAGACTCGGCCTTCTCTTTCTTCTTTAACTCAGCCTTCTCTTTCTTCTTTAACTCAGCCGCCTTCTTTTCCTCCGCCTTCCGTTTCCTTAACTCAGCCGTCCTTTTTCTCCTTAACTCAGCCACCTCGTTTTTTTTAGGAGACGCCTCCTTCTTTGCTAAATAACCGCCTCATTCTTCTTAGGAGACGTCTCCTTCTTTGTTAACTCAGCCACCTCGTTCTTCTTAGGAGCCACCTCCTTTGCTAACTCAGCCTCCTATTTGTCCTTCTCTTTAATCTCATCTCCTTTTAGTTTTAACCTTACCATGCATCTGCGTCCTAAGGCTGGGTCCTTTACAGGAGAAATACCAACGAAATCAACGCCGTCAACCAAATTCTTTTCCACGACCTTAGAAGGTGTACTATTGATAGAAGCCTTAGCAGGTGGACTATTGACAGAGGCCTTAGCAGGTGGACTATTGACTGAGTGATGCGGAAAAGACCGGTGGCGGTGGCGGTGATGGTGATGTCAATGGTAAAGATTGTTCGGGAACTTTAGAGAAGTACTCCTCCATTGCAACTCTGACTAAATCAGCAATGTTCGCATCTCTGGACTCGTTTCTGGTTAACACTGCTTCAAAGTTTTCGAATCTGTTATCGTAACTCTTTATTTTTTAGGCAATTCTATCCAGAGTATACATTATGCTCAACAATATCAGATTGTTCCCAATATCAACCTTCCTTCCTTCTCGCAAGCACCATTTCCCTCCACAACAGCTTCATCCTCTTCGAAGCTGCTCACTTTCTTCTGCTTTTTAATGGGTGGCTTGGCTCAGCCTTTGACGAAATACCAGCCTTTATTTGTTTGCGTTTCATCTGCGTTCCCCAAAAACCTTTACCAAACCGACCTGTATATATGTCTATCATCAAGTTAATGAGTTGCGTGTCATCTGCTTCATCCGGCCACTGAGGAAACATCTCTTCTACGGAGTCCTTCATAACCATTTTTCTCCCGCGCACCTACAAAACCAGTCACCAAATACATAATAAACAGCCATCAAAGTACTAATAACCCAGCCGTTAAAACTAATAACTCAGCCATAAAATAACTAATAACTCAGCCACAAAGTACCAAAAATCCATTCACCATATAATCACTATCTCATCCATCAAATAACTAATACAAAAAAACCCAGCCACTATATACATACTAACTCAGTCATCAAATAACTAAAACCAAGAGGCTAAGATAGTGTTTATATGGTAGCTGGGTTTTTTGTGCTTTAATACTATTTTGATGTGTTTATAAAACAACTAATAACCCAGCCATAAAATAACTAATAACTAAGCTACAGAGTACCAAAAACTCACACACCATATAAACACTATCTCAGCCATCAGATAACTAATACAAAAAAACCCAGCCACTATATACATACTAACTCAGCCATCAAATACCGAAAAATTCCAGCCACTTAATACATAAGTACTTATAACTCAGCCAACAAATAAAAAATAAATCAGTTGACACCTTACCTCACCATGTTTTCTAATCTCCTCAGTAATGACAGTATCAAAACTTTAACGTGTACGCTTTCCACCCCATCGAAAAAGCGGAACTTCTTGCTCATTGATCATTCTCCCAAAACGCTCTCCAAAACAAATGACAGAATCATACACCTAAACCAATAACACGTCCTTCATACCGTTTATGATGTATGACCTTCCTTGTGGATTCAACATCTTAATAGAGTCAATAAGAACTTCATATGCAGTCCGATCTCATGGATACGTCCTCATGGCTTCATCGTCGAATACTATTTTTGCACTTTCAAACGGCATCATAGAATTATGATGCAAAGCATAAAGTCCCATCGCTTGAAGAAGTAACATCCCTAACCATTTATGTTTTTCAAAACTCCAGGCCGGACATACCTCTAATGCTTCCCTCAGTTCATCTAATTTGGGTCCCACCCCAAGCGGCAGACAAACGTTTTGTATTGGTCATGTTCAAAACTTTCTGTTGGTACTGGATCTGTGTTTAACCCAGTGATCTCACCAATTTCGTGTAAGCTAAACCTGATAGGTTCATCACCAACTAGACTCCAAATCTTCTTCTTATATACAAGAAGCAGTCGACATAGTAGATAGTGTACAGTCCTACCAGACCACACGCTTTTACGTTCAGCTGGCTTAACAATTATTCTAAGAGGACCCTGCTTCGGGTGATCCCACACATCCCGTCCTATTACTTCTCTGATGTTAGGAAAATATCCCATATGCAAATTGTGATTAATCTATTTATTTTCTAGATTAGAACCCCCTTTAGCGTAAAGTCGTGGAGGATAATCCCGTGCTTGATCTTCATAAATAGCCATCTGATCCTAAAACACATATAAATAAATCAGTCGCAATAGAAAAATTAACTCAGTCAACTCAAACGTAATAGAAAGAAAACTCAGTCACAACATATTATAACTCACCCATAATACCAAAAACTCAGCCACAACATAATAAATAACTCAGCCGTAATAGAAACAAAACTCAGCCACAACATAATAAATAACTCAGCAGTAATAGAAACAAAACTCAGCCACAACATAATAAATAACTTAGTCGTTATAGAAACAAAACTCACCCACAGCATAATACATCTCAGCCGTAATAGAAACAAAACTCAGCCACAACATAATATGACTGAGCCGTAATACAACAAACTCAGCCACAACATAATAAATAACTCAGCCACAGCATAATCAATAACTCAGCCGCAATAGATCACAACGTACATCAAACTCAGCCACAATATAAAATAAATCAAATACAACATAATCTATAACTCATCCACATCGTAAATCAAACTCAGTCACAACATACCGTAGAAGGTGATTTCGTAGATACAATTGCAACGAAGAAGATTGCGTAGAAATTTTTGCAGAGAAGACGTTATCGACGAAGACGATATAAGAGACAGTTTGAGACGAAAAAATTTGGATAACGGTTAGGGTTTAACGACGGTGTAAGAAAGTTGTGACTTTTTTTTCAGAGTCGAAGAAATATGAGGACGGTTGATTTTTCCGTGTCATATAAGTTATTGACGTGGATTGCCTAATAAGTGACGTGGATTCCCTAATAAATGATGTGGATTTGATAATTAAAATTTGTATCAACAATAAAATTAAACAAAGGTGATTATTATAATTTAGTAGAAGTCTGAAAATATTCTATTAATTTTTAGAAAATGTATGTTATTTTAGTCATATCTCAACTATTATGTAATTATTCTAGTAATTTTCTCTAAAAAATACTTGTTTCAAATGGACTTTTTTTTTTTTTGACAACTTTCAGATGGACTTTATATGAACCGGATTTCTCTAACGTATTCTAATAAGAGGTTTCAGTCTCAGTCATTTTTTTTTTTGAAATTGATAGTAGTCATGTCTTAAATAGTTTCATTTCTTTAGTTCCTTTCAAAAAGTTTGCAAAAGAAACTGAAACTATAATTTAATTTTTGTTTTGTAAGATTCATTTTAAATCTTTTTTTAGCTAAACGGTCACACATTTCTAAAAATGTGTAATCTAGACACACATTTTACAAACTTTCATCACAACATATATATGAAATGATTGAAAGATTCCGATAAGAATATATTATATATGATCAAGATTGAATCCAACATGCAGAATACCAAGCACATGAACAAACACACATTTAATTTAGGGATTAGTTGTCGTCTAGTTCATTTGTCGTTTTGATTGAGACCAAATCTTGAGTTCAATACATGCAAAATTTGATGACACTACTATTATATTTACCTGATAAAATAGATTAGAATGAAATCCCATGTGGCAAAGCCCTTCAATACAAAAAGCTGGAAAAATGTAACTAAATTATTATATAGAAAGAAAACAAATGTACACCAACAAGACTTGAAAGTTTGCTTATATAAAGACCTGAAGGACCCTTTGTTCCCCCATCTCCTCAACAACAGTCACTTCCACTTCAACTTTTCATTCATTCAAACTCGCAAAAAGACAAAACAAAAACCCTCCCAAAATGGCGATAATTTGCACAGCAACAACAACATCTCCGGCAGAGAAAGAACAAGAACCAAAACAAAGTCTTGAAAACGATCAAACTCTTCCATTAGTTTTCAACCCTTCTCTTCTTAACCTCCAATCTCAAATCCCAAACCAATTCATTTGGCCAGACGAAGAGAAACCTTCCATTGATATTCCCGAGCTCAGCGTCCCTTTCATCGATCTTTCAAGCCAAGACTCAACTCTAGAGGCTCCTAAACTCATCGAAGAAGCTTGCACCAAACATGGTTTCTTTCTCGTCGTTAATCATGGAGTCAGCGAATCCCTCATATCCGAGGCTCACAATCTCATGGAAAGTTTCTTCGACATGCCTCTAGCCGAAAAGCAGAGAGCTCAGAGAAAACTCGGTGAGAGCAGTGGCTACGCCAGTAGTTTCACTGGAAGATTTTCCACCAAGCTCCCATGGAAGGAGACTCTCTCTTTCCGTTTTTCCAACGAGATTAGTGGATCAAGGACCGTTCATGATTACTTCTCCGATACATTAGGACAAAAGTTCGAGAAATTTGGGTATGGGTCCAAAAATAGAACAAAGAAACACCAAACAGAGAAATATCCTAATATATCATTATTTCCTCTGTTCTTTTTAAAAAAAAATATTATTTCCTCTGTTTTCTACTCTTTATTTGAACAAATAGGTTTCTTATACCGAAGAAATCATTATAACGGAGATGAATTAATCGTTTTTCCTTATGATTTTCCGGTTATGTTTGTAGGAATGTGTACCAAGACTACTGTGAAGCAATGAGCTCCCTGTCACTAAAGATCATGGAGCTTCTTGGGCAAAGTTTAGGCGTAAACCATGACTATTTTAGAAATTTTTTCGAAGAGAATGATTCGATAATGAGGCTAAACCATTACCCTCCTTGTCAGACACCAGATCTTACATTAGGTACAGGACCTCATTGTGATCCAAGCTCTTTGACCATCCTTCACCAAGATCATGTCAATGGCCTTCAAGTCTTTGTTGACAATCAGTGGCAATCCATTCTCCCCAATCCTAAGGCTTTTGTCGTCAATATCGGTGACACTTTCATGGTAATTAATAACCACCTAAAATCTTTTTGTTACTCAAACACAAATGATATGATATACTTTTTTGTTCGTAGGCTCTATCGAACGGGATATTCAAGAGTTGCTTGCATAGAGCGGTTGTAAATAGAGAGAGTGCAAGGAAATCGATGGCGTTCTTCTTGTGTCCAAATAAGGACAAACTTGTGAAGCCACCAAGTGAGATTTTGGAGACGACACCAAGAAGATACCCTGATTTCACTTGGCCTATGTTTCTTGACTTTACTCAAAAACATTACAGAGCAGATGAAAATACTCTCGATTCCTTTTCAAATTGGGTCATCACCAACAAAAATCCCATCTAAGAACCATATAATTACTATCGAAATCTTGTTTCTATTAGTTACTATGCATCTTTTGTTCTCGGGGTGAAATGCATTCACAAGGTTTCAAAGCCTTTTAGTTTTATTTTGGTCACAATGGTTTCAAAATTCAAAAACGTTTGTATATTGTCATAAGGCTTTAAACATTACCTTGTAGGATATCAATGCTCGTTAAATTTTATGAGTATATTGTAATTCAAATTATTAAAAAGATTATAAATGATGAAAACCATATGAATAGAAAAGACGATTTAACACACTATCAAATTTTAAACTTTATCAGTTTGATCAAGTACATTATCTAATTAATTAGTTTGATATTCTGTTCATTGGGATAAAACTATTAAAAATAAATATATATCATTTAATATATAATATATATATTTTCGTGAAAGTAAAAAAGGGCTAAACTTGCATGACATCATCTTTATAATAACTGTTTTGTTAAAATAAGTTATAACCAAATTATTGAAAAACATAATTCAGTGATGTAGCGCGGATCTAAACAAGGTTTTACTTTAAATAAGGTATCATCAAATGCCAAGTTTCCAAAAGACATAGAAGTTCAGTCTTGTTTGGGGTACATTGTCATGTCCTATGGACCATATAATAAGGGAAATTCATAAACAAAAATCTAACGGAAACGGTACACTACTTATCTATACTCTTATTTTACGTGTTATGTCTGGGAATGGATTAGATTGGAGCAAATTTAGAGAGGAAGAAAAATCCAAGAACAAAGTACAAATCAATTGTCATTAACCATTGAGTCCAACTTAAGATTGAAGACAGAAATTTGTATATCATATACATCAACATGTAGTGTAGTAAGAGCCATCAGAAAAGAACAAAACACATGGGCCACCAAACCTACCCAAGAATGTTCTCTTTCTTAGGAACCAAAACCCTTATAATGTTCTGAATCTTACCTGTTTGGCACGCTATATATATACATATGAAGTTACCTCTGTATAGTGTTTGCACAATGTAATACTCATTATTGAATTTAATTTTCTTATTTCTCTTTTTTTTACATTTTTTATTTACTCTTGGTAAGAGTGTTTATTACCATTAGAGTTTTAGAAACTTCCGAGTAACATGGACTTTTAAAAGAAAAGAAAAACTGAACCTTTTTTTTTTGGATAAACAAATATTTCATTTTAGATCAGAGTTTAGCCTCCCAAATTGGAGTTCCTTACAGCATCAGAAAGAACAGATTTTGCAACCAAATTTACCTCGAATTAAAGTTTTGAGAAATAAAATTAAAGGAGATTACATCAAAGAAAGAAACAAAGTGATAGATATCAAATATGATACCGAATCATTCAGGTTAATAGAAAAACTGAACCCTTCCAAACCAAATTAGAGAGCACACAAATTAATTGGATTTTAATTTAAGCTATTCTGGATATCCCGGCTACACTAGTACTGAACCCAAACTGAATGGTTAATCCAGATATCAAAAAAAAGTATATTAAAAATATTACCTATTTTTAAATAACTAAAATACATTAAAATTATGATAAAACTAGTAGATTTAATTATATTTAAATAAAATAACAAAAATATATATCTGAATCACATTAGTTAAAATTTTAAAAATTCAACAATTTTATTTAGATTTTTTTTGCTTTAAAAATATTTTGGATAATATGGTCTATTTTTTCGAGATATGTTTATTTTGTGTTAGTTCGGTGCAAAAGTAACCAAAACCAAACCAGACCAATGCATTTTTAGCATTTTTCGGCATTCGGATCTTCGTGTCGGATTCGAGTCGGAACAGATCACAAAAGAACTTGTTATAAGAAGAAAGAGTACACAAAACTTGGTTCTCAGTTCGATGAATGGATGGCGAGGCAATGGTTTAGTGAGGATGTCAGCTGTTTGTTAAGAAGCCTTAACTTACTTTGTTTCTATGAACAAAAGAGCAACTTGGTCATAAATGTAATTATAATATGTGTCAAATCCTTGGACCAGCTGCGAAGAGATGGATTGACAGAGAAATAGAAAGTTGGCATATTATGAAATTGAAGAACCGTTGGTTGGTACCAAGCTACACCAATATCTCTACAAAGAAAGAAGATCCATATAATTTATATTGCTATAGACGTCAAGGCTTTGTATTTTGCCTCTGTTGTGGAGCTTAACACTGTTGGTTGTCGCTTTGTGGACAAGGATATCAGTTTGGAACCAAGGATTATGCAGAATCCCAAAATATAACGTCTTGTTTCCTTACAACCTACACAATCACAACCGCAAAAGATATGAAAAATAAGATTTTAAACTTTTCAATCAAGTAACTAGAAACCAAAATCAAAGACAGTAGGGAGAGTACATCCGTTGGTAGACAAATTTTACTGCAAACTGATATCCAATCTTCTAATGATAAGGTATTATAGGTTACCACCAAGGCTTTGGAAGTAGGTAGGGTATGAGAAGCTTTCTGAATTCAGCTTGTCTAGATTTTGAGGCAGAGGTGTTGGCAAGGGGTTACAATCATTTATTTGAACTTGATGAAGTATATCAGAACTGTATGCAGCTTGGTGAAAGAAGAGACCATAACTATAAGACTCAATTTCGATTCTAACGACGTAACGTGGAGTCTCGAGATCTTTTATAATCATTGCATGTAAGAAGTATGTCATCACATAAAGAGGAGAACTATTTTCATACCTTTCTTCTGATATACAATTAGAGATATCAGATTTACTGCTTTTCAAACCATAGTTGAGAGGAAAGTGACTGAAAGTGTCATATCATGCTCGAGGAGCTTGTTTGAGACCATACAAAGCCTTCGTCAGTTTGCACATGTAGAATTAATTTTCTTGATCAACAAAGCAACTTGGTTGAAACATATAAGATCGTTTCTTCAAGATCCACATGAAGGAATGCCTTTGAGACATCCTTGATTGACCAACCTTTTACTGTTGCAACTTCTAGAATCAAGCGAACTATGGAAGTTCTAACATCTAAGAACCATAATTACTATCGAAATCTTGTTTACATATAGTCCACTCCCTCTATCGGATCAAAGTATTCTGTCCCTAGATGGGTTTTTATTTATCAGCTATGCCATCATGATTGAATTTTGTCTTGTAAACACATTTCAAGTGTAGAATGTTCATGTCCTTATTGGGAAGGACAAGATTCTAAGTGTTGAGCATGTGAATGTGTTCCATTCATCAAGAACAGACATTCAATCATGGGTGATTCGTTGCTGCAACAAGATTTTTAGGCTCCTAAGAAGAATATTGCAAAGCAGCAAGAACATAACGTGTATTAGGCTTTTGAATCTCAATTTTTGACTGTGTTTCCATTGAGTGAGAGTTACCACGTGGAGGAGCTGGGACAGCGATATCCTGAGTAATTATTTTCCTTGAATTATGATCATATGATGATCACCTAGCAGCGCATCGAGATCAAGAACATGAGGAACTTTGTCTTGGTTTAGGGGTTGTGCATGAAGAATGTTTTGTTTAAGAAACTGTTGAATGGATGATGGTGTTTCTGCTTCAGTTGAGACATGAACATATCGTGTCAAACTTTCAGAAAAGGAGTTAGGTATTCAAAAATCAGACTTTTGTATATGTCTTTGAATGGGAATTGTTGTTCTTCAAAGACAAAATATATAGATATGTAGGCATTACTAGTTGGAGGGAAGATACCCTTGTACAAGCTGTTATATCCAATAAAACTTGTGATCCGTGAATTCAGCGTTTCCATCACTGTGGAAGACACGAATCTTGGCGTTAAGTTGGTTTTCAACCAGATTTTGGAATAGACAAAGACAAAGAAGAACTCAGACTTAGATAGAAGAGGATATGACCAACTGTATCTTGAATAACCAACAATAAAAACTATATGAAATTTAAATAGTTGGTTTACTACAACTACTGATGGTCCCCAAAGATCACAATGTATTTGATCTTGAGGGTTTAATACATCTAATCAAAAGCTAAAATGTAATATAAAGTTCTTTCCCATCATGCAAGGCTCACAAATGGAAGAGTTCTGCTAATTCACATGAATTCCCTTGATGTCCAGGAGTATTGAATAATTCAAGTATTTGAATGACAAAGATGATGATGTTAATTGTCTTCAATGCTTGCACAATGAAGATTGGAATAGGAAGCTGTAAACTCTTTGTTTCTCCATCATATAAAATCCACAATTTTGGTCCCTTATACAACACTTTATTAGTATTTAAGTCAATAATACAAAATTTATTAACTTTTAAATAAATCCCACATGGATAATCATCACATAACTGAGAAACTGAAAGAAGAGAATTTTGTATAGCATGACATACTAAAACTACTTTTAATGGGATAGTACATTTGGAGGAAAATATATTGGCTGATTTAACTTGGGTGATAAGTAAGTAAGTTCCATCTCCAGCTAAGACAATGTCATTACCTTCATATTGAGTTGATATCTGTAGACCATTAGTTGAAGAGGTACCATAAGCAGATACTTCAAAATCGGGGTACCATTACTTTCAATTATCTTCAGTGATGTAAAGAGATGAGGAAAATCTTAGCATGGTAGCTGTGTTAAAGCGATTGTAGCACTTTTGATGTATGTCCTACTTGTCCGCAAATATTACATATTAGCCTTACATATTTGGAACTAGAAGAAGATTTATTCTGACAAAAATCATCTTCCATGTGTAGAGTAACTTCCTTTACCTCTATAGTGATCGAAGCAACCTCTTCCTTAATTGTTAGGGATATATGGAGAAGAACTAGAGTCAGTATGTTCAGTATTGAAAGCAAGGTCAGGTGTGGCAGAGACAAGTCTTCGTAAGCTGAAGCTTGATCTTGAAACCTTTAACATTTGAGAAGATATCATTAAGAGTTGAATGATGAAACTTGTAAAGAGAACTCTAAATAACATTAGTTGTAGGGTCATATTCCATTCCTATTCCATTTAGAAACCCAAAAATCTTCATGGATTCATCTATGGGTTTCCTATGGAACTTAGACAGTCATAAAATTGTTTTAAACTTTCTGTTGTAGATAAGGACTTAACTTTTTTTTTGCAAGGAGTTGATTGGTGTGATGTAGAGATAACTTTTGAGAAATTTGTTTTTGTTGAAGTTCTCAGCAAGCAAGATCCCGATATCTCTAGA